GGCGGGTCGGATGTCGAATAAATCTCACTGCAATTATAGCTTTTTTTTCTGATTCAGAATATTGAAGAAATGCGGGTTTTCCATTAATTAATAGAGGTGTCAACTCTTTAACAATTAGCTTTACATGTTGTGCACAATATTGTCGGGAAGGGTATTGATTATATTTTGCTATTTACTGCCAAATTGCCTGTACATTATCTAGCTACCCTGAATTTCTTGAAAATGCTGATATGTTGACCATCATGTGGTTGCTAGGGTAGGGGGCAGTTTCCATAAATTAAACAAAAAACAAAAAATGCAATCAATTTTCAATAATTTATTGCATTTTACCCCGGATCCCAACATAAAAAAATCCTCTGTGTGCCCATGCCTTGAGCCATAATGCATGTCCGTCCAGAGGATTTTGTTTATGTTGGGGACCGGGGTAAAATGCAAGAAATTATTGAAAATTCATTGCATTAAAAAAATAAAATAATGGAAACTGCCCCCTACCCTAGTCCCCGCTGCGTACAGTCATGGTTCAGTGACAAAGCAATGGCCTCGTAACTGTGAGGCCTCAGGATCAAAACCGTGTTGATGTGCTATAGTAGTGCCTTTTGTGGGGCATTAATCCTCATTACTGTCATTTATGACTTAAATGCGTAGGTCCCCTAGTTGATAAGCATAGTAGCATACACATGCTTTAGCAGTCACGCAAAACACACTTCGGCAAATTATTATTCAATAAAATCTGAGAATGTATACTATTATCTAGATCTATTTTTTTTTAATTATTTTTAAAATAATTCCATAAATTGGGGTAAAACTAAAATATTCCAACTATATGAGCGACAGTGTATAAATGTGTTAGTAAAGAAAATAATAAGCTGGAAGAATTGTTGAATATACTTTAATTTTTAGCTTTTGTTATGTTTCACTCAATCCTTGAGGTATTAATGTAAATATGTATTGAAATTACGGAAATAAAAACCTCGCTTGAGGATAAGAGGAAAAAAATAACTTGGGGTAGGGTTTTTTACACGACGAAGTAAAGAGTGCTTTGATTGGCCAACGTTTTTCTGCAGAGTCTGACAAACTTTGAGGTCACCTGACGTTCTAGTTTTCTTGTAGACACGGCAAACCACACTATGTGAGCAATTGTCGCGAATGAGTTAAAAACCTGATCATACCGTGTGTTGCAATGGCTCACAGTTACGGATTTCGTATCCACTGAACTGAAACGCCATGAGATCAAGAAAATGCCGAAAGCGATACGATGTTTTAAAACATATTTTACACAAAAAGTCAACTGAAAGTGTTATAAAAACGATGTTTTATGGAATTTTCAAAACAATGAATTATGTTCAGATTTTCGATCGCAAATGTGGGCGAAAAAATCTAACTGCAGACGGGCGACGAGAAACTCAACATTAAAACATGAGGGCCTTAAATATACTATGTCCCTTTTACAGCTAACATCAAAGTATGTACAATTTTACAGGAATTATGAATATGTCATGTAGGTCCTATCTGTGAAATTTAAACGTTAGCAGTATCCTATAGAGGAGGCGCGATAGCTCAGTTGGTAGAGCAGTGGTCTCGTAATCCGGTGACTCGGGTTCGAAACCAAGTCGATGCGCTAGTGCCCTTTGGTAAAGGCATTAATCTTCATTACCAACATGATACTTACTATTATAGTAAGTTAATATCATAATGTATGTATTAGATATTGGACTCCATGGAAGAACAGAGCCATTAGGTTAATGGCTCTGAAATGGACCATCCAACCGTTTTATCATTCTATTATTATTTGGCAAGACATTGATCTACATTTGCCACATTCCACCCAGGTGAAGTAAATGGGTACCTGGTAGGAGTTTATTCCTTGAAATGCTAGAGCGCCGTATGGCAGCCGTGCTAAAGCCAGGGTAATAATCGGGAGCGCCAGGAGGGTCAAATCTGACTGACATGAGCGCTATACAAGAACCCATTATTATTATTATTGTTATTATTATCTAATTCTATTATTGGTATATTATGTTATTGTTGTTGTCATGATTTCGGAAATATAACAAACACAGGTCCCTCGGAGAGGTTCTAAAGCCGTCGGGCGTCTGGTTGCTTACTTACAAGCATTTATGCTTTCTTAGCAGTCAGGTAAAATAACAACCAATAACCAATAGACCTTTTCCTATTGGCCGAGGCCTGTTTTCTTGCTTAGTTTTTGAATTCCCTGGTCTCTGGCTGGGAAGTACTTACACATGTGCCAGATATCTTGGAACTGTGTATCTGAAACAATAATGACATGTTCCCACATTTTAAACTTAATTGAGCAGTAACTAATTACGGCAGAAAACAAAGAAAAAGTAAAAAATTGGTTGCTATGGACTTTTTCTCCCAAGGAACCATAATAGGGGAGATATTAATTGACATATACAGAAAATATGCTTATTGTGCATAAAAATGGTGTTTTAAAAAGTTTGATGTGTATATTAATTGGTACCTGCAGTAATACTAGTACATGTATTGGTAAAAAGTTTCATAAAACCTGATATAAGTATGAACATAGATCAAATACATTTGTGTATTTATCAAGTTTTTCAATGGGATGGCATTAGTAACATGCCCCCTCCCTTACCCCCATAGCTTTCCTCACCCCCCCGCCCCCCCCCCCCCCCCCCCCCCCCCCCCCCCCCCCCCCACCCCACCCGCCCACCGAAAACAGCTCCATGAAGTGAAAACGGCACATACAAATACAGTAGTTTCCAATCATACGATCAGTAATAGACGTTTTCTAACCAAATGTCATACCATGCTCATTCTATTATTCACATACAGCCATCCTACCCCACATAGATTTACATGCATATGCAGGCAAGCCCCCCCCCCCCCCACACACACACACAGTAATGTAATGTCAAATGAAATAATGAATTAAATTAATTAGACACACACAAATTATTTGTGACATGTAAATTCAAATGCGCCTCATGCGTGTGAACACACAAGTCACACATGCCCCTATCAGATATCTCACCATACACAAGCATAATTGCATATCATACTCTTAAATATCATTTTTTATCTTGTTTTCTCGATGGATATTACCATCTCTTTTTTCTCTCTGTGTGATCTCACATAAAAAGCAATGACAGAATGATTTTTATAGTCAATTTAATGTTTTATTTACTTTAAAAAAAAGAAAGAAAAACGTTCACAGTACAAGTTCCAAAACACTGTTGACATAATAAAGCATTGTTGATGTATTCCATATAGGCATTATAATATGTATGTACAATCAAATTCAATTTAAAATGTTTAAAAATCACATTGCTAGAATATTAAGCTTTGTCGTATTAAATGGTACGTCTCTGGATCTACTTACATTCAATTAATTCAGCCAAAATAAACAGGTACATATATTGTAACTTCTAAGCTCTTAGAAACTATACTCTACTATACTCACTTTAATTCTCAAGTGTAAACAAACATGACAATGGCTATCCAAATGAAGATTTAGATCTCGAACTCAAAATTTTACTCTAAATACAGTTTACATTTAATATTATGAACATTCTGAAGAAGAAAAACAAAACATTGATACAAATAGGCAGCACTGAACACAAGTAGTAGGGTGAGTCAAGTTGATTAAATCTGAAAACAAGGGGAACAAGAAAACCTGCAAGGAGATACAAAAGCATCATAAATACATTGCATATAATGGTTTTCACATGACATCACTTTAGTCAAAGTTTTCACTCTTACATTTCTCCAGTCTCTATATTTTTCCAAAGTTAGATGAACATCCAAAAGTATGTGTGCACCTCATTTGCATCACAAAATGTACAACAAAACAAATTCCTGTCTCACTCACTACAGAATATCCTGTCTTAAAGAAATCAGTTTACAATTAAACTTCATACCTTTAGACATTTTTTTTGATGGTACAAACTAGCAAAAGATATATTCACTCTACAACATTATTCATTGCAAAAGACTTGGCCATCCTAACTTACCCTACTGTTAATTAAGGCAGGTTACATCAACCTTCTCTCCAGGTTAGTATTCTCTCTCTGGAAACAGACATCACCTATAAACCAATCACAGTTAGGCCTAAAATAAAAACTTGTTGTATTGCCCTTTGAAGATTCATGCCAAAATAATACAACTACAAAAGGGCACTAAATATAGCACAGCGACACGGTTTTGATCATGGGGCCTCACAGTTACGAGGCCATTGCTTGGCCACTGAACCATGACTGTACGCAGCGGGGGCTAGGGTAGGGGGCAGTTTCCACAATATAAAAAAGAAAGACAATTCAATAATTGTCAATAATAAGTGAGCAGGCGCCGCCGAATTTTAACTCTGCTCTGAACGATGCCTCAAAAACAAGCGATGCTCGGGCGAAATTTGCTAAAAACTCACGGCCCGGCCGCCGGGCAAGCTACATTTTAGGGTTGTGGCCGGGCGCGAAAGAAAGGGGGAGGGGGTTGGAGGTTACCCCCCCCTCACATTTTCTAATTGTAAACAAAAAAAAGGTATGCTAAAGGATGCAAACTAAAAATTCCCCCCCCCTCCCCTAAACCACTGAACGAAATATCAGACGACGTAATTTTCCAACTTCCGGGGCAAACAAAAATACTGCTCTTACCCCCTCCTGCTTATTAAGCGGCTGGCTGAGTTATTGCAAAATTTCCGGCGCGATTTTCACATTTTAAAACACCTCCCTTGAACAAATCCTGCGTACGCCACTGGATGTGAACATAGCTTTAAGTTATACACTGGCCCCACGCCTGTACATACAAAGTCAGGCATGAATACACGTTTATGTTTGGGAGAGGTTTATGGGAATATATCAAAACTGGAAGGGAAAATGTGTTAGCTGGACATGCACTCTGGGAAATATTAATAAACACCATAGGAAAGTCTTACCAAATCGTCATACTCTGAGATCTTGTTGTTTTATGAAATGAATCGATTCACAACGACTGGTTATGTTACTGCTTTTCGTTTGATGCAGGTCTAAAATCATCGCAGGTAGTTCCAGATGGCCTGGTTTACACCGAAGCCAAGAAGACACTAGTTCGAGGTGTGCAAGGTGTTATAACATGTCGCTTCTTTGGGGATCCATCGGCAGTCTACTGGAGAAAACGCCTTAATCCTGACGAACTAAGCATCATGGTAGTATGGATTGATGGTGAAGTATCAGGTCCAAGATACGATGACGGGAGTTGTGACGTGGACGAAAATTATTCCTTGATCATCCACAATGTTTCAACGGCAGATAGTGGAAGAATGTACTGCACAGTTTCCAACAACAAGGGACCTCTGATGAACAACTACACTGATATTTTAGTTGTAGGTAGGTTATTTAGAAGAAACTTTTGAACAGTAATGATTTAAAAAAAACAACAACCTATATCCTACTTAAACTAATGTTAACTACACTGTCGCTCATATAGTTGGAATATTTTTTTTTTTACCCCAATTTTATGGAATTATTTTGACAATGATTTATTCTACAATGACGAGTAAACTATGTATATCACAGTCCACAGATAAATGTGCCTTGAACGTATTTAGCAGACGGCAATCGGCGGATCAGACGACACTTGATAGTGATTTTGTATGTGAGATTGCTTTTCTGAATATAAAATGCAAGAACCTTTTCCATATCTTTAAACTATCATTGATATCTGATAATTAAAAAGTTAGTAAAATAAACCTCCCAAACTACATAATACAATGAAATACTTTACTGAAAGTAGGGTAGTTTGATGTGGTGCACAATTGCACCCCTCTGTAAATAATCGAATAGTCCATGACGTTCATGAATATTCATGTTTTTGCTTACCTCGGCATAATGCTTGCCTATACTAAATGGAAAAAATTACGGTGGGGGGGAGGGGGGGGGGTTGGTTGAAATGGACATAATGATCAAATCAGAACTGATCCATTATAATTCATGCTTGTTATCCTTCGTGTGCTTGACCTATAACCTTACAATCGCTTGGCAAATTGAGTCCAAAGTGCGACTTGTTGCACATGTGTTATATAGGCAATGGCGAGATTGCGACCTATTTTGATCAAATTACGGTGGGTAAACTTTCAAAAGTCAATGGGACATGAGAGTTCCAATGAAAGAGCTAGTGTCAACGTACGTCGGGGTGGATGTGCTTTTCGTTTAAACAAAAAAAAATGAATTTGTAACGATTTGTTTTGGTAAAAGTCCATAGGCTAATATGTTAGGCTGATGGATCTGACGGTATGGGGCGTTGTCAAATGAGACTAAACGGAGCTATATGAACATAACGCACACATAATCCTATCGTAATTTGTCCCCCTTGTGGGAAATTTGCCCCCCCCTCAACTGAGAGTCAAACGTATGTATTTTTTTTACAAGGAAACCATCTCTCAGCCCCCTACCCCGTAAATAAATATAAATATCCGACATCTGAATATCCGAGTCGTCATCAAAATAGGTGTAGGCGGGGGGGGGGGGGGGTTCTAGGGATATTTCATTATTCAAATTCAAATTAAAATGTTATTATTTTATTTAAATTCTCTTTTTCAATAATAATATTGGATAACAAATTTTTAAAATCAGAGTGTAACATAGATAGGCTATAAATCGAGTGTAAGAGTAAAGATGACAATAACCAGGAATGACAAACATTAACCTATTACTGCATGTCTCTTCTGGAATATAATACAGGGATAAGAATAATGTGTTTTTTTACTGGTAATACTTTTTCCAATTTATGTTTCTTTCTTTTTCTTTTTTTAAAATTCAAATAAAAAGAAAAAAGAAAAAAAAAGGATATGCGACATGATAGTAGACTATATATATGCTTTATGAATTACCAATCTCTCCCACGTGATGAACCCGAAAATAAGACCTTATTCCAAACTCGTCGGAGACAGTGAGCATAGGATGACAATATATAAATGCCATCAAGATTAATAATATGGTTAACAAAGACTTAAATAAGACAATATAATCCTGTTATCAATGTGTACGATAAATTGACAGGTGGTTTGTTTTGTAATTATCTTGTTTCATGACAATTCGCGTCAGCCTTGCTCTCCGTTTGTTTTGTTTCTTTTATTGTATTTTCTTTTTTCTTTTGGTTTGGCTATTTAAAGTAATTGATTCTTTATATTTCCTGTGTGTATTACATGCATTTTATGAGTTTGATTTGAACTCATCATGTCTCGAATTAATTAATGTGTGAAGAGAAGGTTGAGTTCTTGGAAGAGGTGAAATGTAATTTGTGAGTGTTATCATTTTTATTACGCAAGTGTGGAAGAACACCGGAAAACAAATGTTCCCTGAAAAGCATGGCTCTTCAAATACCCTAATACAATGTATTCTAAATATGACATGTAACGGCATAACAATCTTCGTATCATTTTAATGATTCAAGAACCTTGCAGTCCTCACCAATACTTATATGCTAGATGATCAACCTTTTTCTGATCGATTCCACACCGTTTCATTCACAATGCAATCGCATGACCAGAACTCAACTTTATCTTTAACTTCTCTGAACCTGTATGCATATTTATGTTTACATTCCTCATTTTCCCTGGGTTTGTTCTTTATTTATCATCCTGCCCCCTTGTTGCTACGAGGGTCAGATATCCCACCCCAAAATAAGACAAAAACAAAAACAAATTTCACACGGCATTTGTTACTTTAACTATCAGACCTCCTTATCGATCACCACAATTAACGATAATCTGAAACTTTGAGTGAAAACTTTATTGTAACATTATTCATGGTACAAATTGGAAAAAACTGATCTGATCGATTCCTTAATTTTCCCAACTATATTATTACAATTTAATTACATTTTAGGTGAATCGTCACAAAGCAATAAAATGGCTCTACATTCCATTCCAGACATTTAAGTGTTGACTGATTTTTTTATAGCCTGTTTCATGTCTTTTTTTCATGGAAAAACGGTTGGAAAATTCAAAAATGGTTGGGAGAATTTACTGTTAATCACTGCTAGAAGGTGTCATACATCGACTCCTTCAAAGAAAACCATAGATATCCTCGTGGTTTGATAACTTTTTCAGGATTTTTTGCATGTCAGAGGGTTAGTACAGTAGAAGGAATATAGCAAGTAACATTTTATACAAAAATTAAGCAATTTTTTCATCAACCTTCAACAATGTTACCAAGTCACTTTAACCCTAAAAAGGCCGGGCTATTTGAGGTCTTAGTACGGCCGGGGGGGGGGGGGGCATTATGGCCCCCCTTAAGATCTCGGCCGCGAAAATGTGCACGCATGTCAAGTGAAGTGTATAGAGTAATATGATAATTTCAATTTTTTGAAAAATTCACTTATTTGCATATTTATGGTAATGTATACAAATGAAGACATAAAAATCAAATTTTTACCCATAAATCATATATTATTCATATTTAAGCATTCTTTTTCACTACATATATTCATTAGACCATTCTGAATAATAATACAACAACAAAATTTGGAAGAGCCAGCTATTCCCTATGTTATCCCTTGTTTTGATAATTTCTTATGTATTTCATTGTTTTTTTAACTTATGTATTTCATTGTTTTTATTGTTTTATTTCATTTCTTACTACAATTCAACTATTAAGACTCTCAAAACAACCACCTAAACTTTAAACAAGACCCAATAACCCATGTTTCATCTGTTTTTAGGAAAAATGACTTGTCCATATGTTTTGTACACAAATCACGAAAATGAGCGATTTTCGGGCTGACATGCAAAGACAAAAGGTCACGTGACCTCTTAACCATAGGTCCGATTTTCAAAAAAAATCTTTTAAAAGTTGCGCAAGACTTAAAAGAAAAAAGTCAGCGAGCAGCGGGGAGCCATCTATATGCGTTTCCGAGCAATCGGAAAAATTGTGGAAGGGGGGGGGGCATAATGCCCCCCCCCCGGCCTTATTAGGGTTAAACAAAGGTGCATCATGAATTTGACAGAAAAAACCGGTTGAATCTTAGGACTTAAACTGTACATCTCTCACGTTTCATAATCAAAAACATGATTTTATTATATCAAATTACATTGCGTTATGTTTAACCCAACAAATACAATATTTTCTGCCGTTCGAAACGTACTGCATATAAAGTCGAAACAAAATGATGCCAAAATACTTGGCTAGATTTTTACTACATGTAGGCCTACTATCTGACATTCTTTAAGCGAAACTTTAATTTTGTTTTGTTAAACTTTTGTAATAAAGTATTGATGAGGGGAAAAGCATCCGAGTCTTTTTCTTAATGTTTTCTTGTCATAACAGTCTTTGCTGGGATGGACATGAAGATGGGTCTGATGACTGAATTTGTGGAATGTCTGTGCGATCTTTATAACTGATTCCCTGTTTTATCTCATTCAATTTTAAGATTACATTTAGGCCTTCGTAATACTTCCTCAAAACCAAATAAACCTTAAAACATCAACCATTTTCAAAATAAATTTCTTTTAGAAATTCATATAGGGCCTATGCAAAACCTGATAACAAAATATAAATATCAAATTTATTATCTACATTGTATTTTCCTCCGGACATGTACGAAGTGCAATCATTTATAAAATATACAGTATGATACTTATGGTAGAAGGGAATATATTAGACTATAGTGTAGTAGCTTATATCTAGACAGTTTGTGTGATAAAGTGCTCATATATTATGACGGCAATGATTTTTACCCCGAAATTATTTTGCACCTCTGACATTTTTGCCTTAGACATTTTTACATCTGACATTATTACCTCTGACATTTTTATCTCTGACATTATTAACTCTAACCCTTTTACCTCTGACATTTTTACCTCTGGGATTTTTACCTCTGACGTTTTTACCTCTGACATTTTTAACTTTGACTTTTTTTACCTCTGAACTTTTTACTTCTGATATTTTTACCTCTGACATTTTTACCTCCGACCTTTTTACCTCTGACGTTTTTAACTCTGACCCTTTCACCTCTGACATTTTTACCTCTGAAATTATTACCTCTGACCTTTTTACCTCTGATATTTTTACCTCTGAACTTTTTACCACTCACATTTTTACCTCTGACATTTTTACCTCTGACCTTTTTACCTTTGATATTTTTATCTTTGACTTCTTTATCTCTCACATTTTTACCTCTGACATGTTTACCTCTGACCTTTTCAGCTCTGACATTTTAACCTCTGACCTTTTTACCTCTGACATTCTAACTTCTGACCTTTTTACCTCTGACATTTTTACCTCTGACTTTATTGCCTTCGACATTTTTACCTGGCACCCTGAAATTAAAGTTAGTTTCACGGTCTTATCATGTACTTCGGTAACATTTCCTCTATCTTATTATAAGGTGGCTTCCAACGTTTTTCCTTCAGATACTGCACTCACAACAAATCCACAAGTCACTATACAGATGCGTCAAGCCACATATGGTATCCTGCAATGCGCTGTTCACATCAAGGCCAGAAGAGTTTCTTGGAAGAAGGGAACTACCTCTTCAGCAAATGAAAGCCTGGTTGTAATGGAAAGCAACACAAATGTTTCTGAAAGAAGTGGAGGTGGATACTACGACGGCACGTATAACATCACCCGAGATTACTCGCTGGTCATCAAAGAGTTAAAAATCCATCACGAAGGTCTTTATGTTTGTGAGGTGACCGATCATACTGGGATATCCTTCCGGAATCACACTTTTGTAAATGTGGTTGGTACGTATTCATAACGTGCCGAATAGCATTTGTCTACACTAGTAATGAAATGATAGTAAAATATAACATGATGATTGCTTTTGTTTTGTTCAGGGAGAAAATCAATGTATTTTCATTACCAGTGAGTTTGAAATATCTATATTTATTATCAATGTTTCGTATGAACCATAGCCATTAAAAATGACTTTTGTCACACCAGTAGTGGGTTGTCAATATCAGCGAGGGGACATGTGGGCCTACTAAAGCACACGTATTCGGAATATGCTCAACAGTCTGAATTTGACCACGCAGACATAGGTCAGAGTCTTTGAGATGCCAGAGCTTTATGCTTGCTGCAAAACGGCCTGCGCCAGATCGTAGGCTTTTCAGTTTAAATCGGCGCTTCCTGTGAAGTTTGCTGTCAGGAGGGTGAAAGGGCCAAGTTTTAAGATATTGTTTAAGCCTTTTAGTGATAGCTAGCTCTATAGCACCAGCTAAAGCAAGGTTCTCAGAGGCCCTGCACAGCAGCGCGGGCGCTCTTTTTCAGAAATAAAAGCATGCGGCCAGTCCATGAAGCTATGCGGTAAAGTTGTCCCGACGATCTTTGGAGGTTAAATGCCTGATATCTGTCCAAATTGTAGTTGCCTCAAAACTATTTAGCCACTGATGAGTGCAAATTTCGTCGGATGAGCACAACTGTATGTGTGCATGTGTATGTGCGTGCGTGTGTGTCAGAGAGAGAAAGAGGGGGAGAGGGGTTTGTGCGTGTGTGTGTGTGTGTGTGTGGGGAGGGGTACTACACACTGAAAACCCAATTTATTATAAAATGCTCTTTATTACGTTCATTTATTATTTATTATTTTCTTTGTTGATTCGTTAGTTTATTAATTTAAAGAATTGACATGAAATGTTAAAGGTAAATGTGACAAACCATTGTTCTTTTGATTATATTTTAAATTTAGCCCAGCCTATGGAACCATTTCCAATTGTCCAGGAATGTCTAAATGCTGAACAGCACGACTCAAACTACTGTACCCTCGTCGCCAAATCAGGAATGGCTCTTACATGCCAAGCGTTGAAGTACTACCCCTCTATCAACCTTGTCTTTCTATATGGATCCATAGTAGTTGAGCCTTCAGATACAGAAGAATGGGAAAACAAAGATGGAACGAAAAACAAAACCATCACCATTGCCACCAGGGGTAACAAAGAATTGTATACATGTGTGGCTTCCAGTGTTCCAGGAACAAATGCAAATACATCCACATCTGCCTTACTCCAAGGTGGCGAACCAGTGAAATCAACTCTGGTGATAATCTTAGTTTGTAAGTTATCTAAAATACTGGACATCTGATTATTTTTTTGAGGAAATCCGAGAAATCATCAATATTTGAATATAACGTGTAAACATTAAGGCAATTGAGAACAGGCAAATTCAATAACATTGCTACAGACCTGATGGAAACTATCTGGAAGATGAAAAATATTCCAGTGCGAAAGCTTCAGAACATTTTAAGAAAGAAAGTGATACTCATGAATTCAGCAAAATATCAGGTTGAAACATCATATGTTTATTATATAAAAGTAAACTAAATAATTACGTATACATGTAAATAATGTTTAAAACTCTTGTGCCATGGTTTCCCGTGAAAGCTTTGTATTGCTTATGTCTATACCACGAAACAGCACCTTGAACCTGTGAACAGAATTATACTGATATACGCAGCTTCGTATTTTTTATCTTCTTTATAATTTTACTTTAGGACACTTTAGAGAGCAAGACCTTCATAGAAATCAAAATTCAATCCATTAGAACTACATTGTTAGATTTTAAAAGGAACAAGGCTTTTGTTTATATCAAAGATTGATGACCAGAAGGTTATTGTGGTATTTTGAGCGCTTTATATCATGCAAATTTTGTTGCAATAGTTATGTTTTTCTCAATATTATCTTCTTCGCGTTTGATTTTTTTTCAGGTTTTGCTTTAATGATACTCATCTCTTCAGCGACCTATTTCATTTGGAGAAAGAAACAACGTAAGTGATTCGGTAGCATGATAAATTTGATATTGGAAGATGCAAATAATTGTGAAACAGTTAAGGTTAAATCTAAGGCTTAGTAAAACACCATTTCGTCGCTGTTTTCACGAAGTGACGGTAGTGAAAAAAAATTGCATTCACTTTGCGTTACGATTTTCCTCACTACCGTCACTTCGTGAAAATTTATTTATTTACCTCACAAATATCTTTTGCTTTATTGGTTTCAAACTTTGATACTGATAGATGATCACATTCATGTAAATTTTGAAGGAAATTTCACTAATTTTCATGAATGATTTATTGTATGATTCTTGCATAACCTTGCTCTCTCTCTCTCTCTAAGTGCCATATCGATTGACTTTGGCGATCATGCTATTCCACAACCCTCGGTTCCTAGCCTTTCGTATTAGTACCAGTCCCAGTTCTTTCACTCCTCTCTCTTCCAACAATTTCTGCAGACTGTCCATCCAAAGTATCCTCCTTTTCCCCTACTCCTTCTTCCCACAATTTCCCTGTCAAAGCAAGATTCTGTAGGCCTTCTTAACGTGTAATGTGACCCATGAACTTTAACTGCCTAATCAACATCTCACGTATCATTTTCCTTTGCACTCCTGCTCGTGTAAGAACTTCCTCATTACTAACTCTGTCAGTCCAGGGGATTTTCATCATTCTTCATTTCGCAACTTTCCAAACGCTTTTTAGTATCAGAGGCTAAATTCCACGTTTCACTACCATACATAAGTACTGGGCAGATGTAACAATTCAATACTCTTATCAGGGGCGTAAATCCCGGGGGGATGGGGGGGGGGGGGGGGGCTGCATCCCCCCCCCCCCCCTCTGGCTTGGAGTAGGGGGGTGGCCTGTACAATCACCCCCCCCTGAGATTACAACAAAAAAAAAGAGATTAAAAAAAAGGAAGAAGAAGAAGAAGAAAAAAAATGTGATTGTTTCAATTTTAGCATAATGCATGAGAAATGAGTTATTTTGTTTGTATGTATGTATAACTGTACAGCATACACGTATACAGTATGTCACGGTCATTAAGAGTAGTTGCGCGACGTGCGCGAACAAGGAAAAAAACTGAATTCAGATGAGGATTAAAAGTCGAGAACGGTACAACGAATCGTCTTCTTTCTCTAATGATTTAATGAAACGTAATAGCTTCCGCGCTTTGCGCGGGAGGGAAGGGGGGGGGGGGAGGGAAAACTGAATTCAGATGTGGATTGAAAGTCGAGAACGGTACAACGAATCGTCTTCTTTCTCTAATGATTTAATGAAATGTAAAAGCTTCCGCGCTTTGCGCGGGAGGGGGGGGGGAATGAATTCAGACGAGGATTAAGAGTCGAGAACGGTACAACAAATCGTCTTCTTTCTCCAATGATTTTATGAAACGTAAAAGCTTATGCGCTTCGCTCAGGAGGGGGGAAGGGAAAAACTGAATTCAGATGAGGATTAAAAGTCGAGAACGGTACAACGAATCGTCTTCTTTCTCTAATGATTTAATGAAACGTAAAAAGCTACCGCGCTTCGCGCGGGAGGGGAGGGGGAACTGAATTCAGACGAGGATTAAGAGTCGAGAACGAAACAACGAATCGTCTTCTTTCTCTAATGATTTAATGAAACGTAAAAGCTTCCGCGCTTCGCGCGGGAGGGGGGGGGGGGGAATGAATTCAGGCGAAGATTATTTTCGAGAACGGTACAACGAATCGTCTTCTTTCTCTGATATTGTTTGTTGTTGTTCGTTTGTGCGTGTGCGTGTGTGTGCGTGCGTTTGTGTGTGTGTGTGTGTGTGTGTGTGTGCGTTTGTGTGTGTTGTGTGTTCGCGAGCGCTTGCGTAAATTAGTGTGGGCGTGTGCTCGTGCTAGTATGTGATGGCTATCGCCGATCATCCCCCCCCCCACTCCTCGGTACGGATTTACGCCCCTGACTTTTATTCTGGTCCTCATACTCATTGTTCGATTTGTCAGAATTTTGCCTAGCTTTGAAAATGAAGATTTAGCGAGAGCTATCCTTCTCTTGATCTCTGTCTCACATCTGGCATCCTCGGTGATCATGCTGCCGAGGTAGTTAAATGAGGAGACTTGTTTAATAATCTGTTCTTTGAGTTTCAAGTTACATTTTGGACTGCTCTTCTTAATAGAGACCACCATGCACTTTGTCTTGGTATAGTTGATCTCTAGTCCCATTCTCTCACTTTCTTTTACAACTACATTCAAGAGTCTCTGGAGATCTTTCTCTGATTCAGAAACTAAAAAAAGTGTCATCAGCATATCTAATATTTGTGATTGAATGGCCACCCACTTGTATCCCATTTTCATCTTCCAATTCTCTTAGAATGATTTCACTATACATATTGAACAGGTCCGGCGACATAACACAACCCTGTCTGACTCCCCGTCTGATGTTAATATATTCACTACACTCTCCTTCTACCCTGATGCATGCAAACTGATTCAAATATACACTTTGTAGCAGTCTTAGATCTTTTCTATATATATCAATCTTTTTCATCTCTTTAAAAAGTTCTGAATGTTTTACTTTATCAAAAGCCTTTGAATAATCAATAAAACACATGTACACAACTTTTTGGATTTCGACTGCTCTCTCCGTTATATTTCTAACCACAAATATTGCATTTCTTGTGCCCGCATCCTTTACAAAACCAAATTGTTCCCTTCCGACCATGGGAGATATTCTACTTCTTGCTCTCAAAAGCAAAATCCTCAAAATAATCTTAGTGATATGGCAAATAAGGCTGATTGTCCTATATTGCTCACAATCCACGGCTCCCGGTTTCTTTGGGAGACTAATGAAAATGGATCTGCCCAATTCATCTGGAAATGTTCCGTTATCATATATTTTGTTAATAATTTCTGTTAATCTATCAACACCATATTCCTCTAATGCTTCAAACATGTCAGTGACCACACCATCTGGTCCAGCTGCTTTGTTCTTCTTCATCTTTGACATTGCCCAACGGCCTTCAGATTTAAGAATTTTCTCCCCTTTGACTTCATCTGCAAAACTTGGCATTGGTTCCCTACTATCTTCAAAAAGTTCGCCAATGTATTGCGTCCACCTGCTCATTTTGTTCTTCATTTCAAACAGGATTGACTCATCTTTCCTTTGATACAGCCAGGGTTTGAACAACCAGGCTTTTTACCTGAAATTTCATTTATTCTTTGGTAAACATTACTTTTCTTATCGAATTGATTTTCAATTTCTACACATTATTCGTTTAGCCAGCTCTCTTTTGCCTTATTACACTTTTGCTTTATTTGTTTGTCTAGGTCCCTATATTTCTTGCATTGTCTATTTCCAATTTTCTGTCTATCTTTCATCATTAAAAGAATCTCCTCTGTCATCCATTTGTTCCTTCTTTTTCTCTCTTTTTTCGGCACATGTTATTCCGCTGTTTCTACCAGAATATTTCTCATCGTCTCCCACGTGTTTTCTTTACCTTCATCTATGAGCAACTCAAACCTATTCTTTACTTGTACAGTAAATTATTGACATATGTCCGGTTTACTTAACTGTTTAAAATCCAATATTTTTACAACTTTTCGTCTCTTGAGTTTCTTTAATTTGCACTGAAGTGTACATATCCCTGGCACATGATCACTCCCGCAGTCAGCCCCTGGATATGTTTTTGATTGTTTCATTGCTCTTTTAAATCTACTATTTATGGCGATATAGTCTATCTGGTTTCTGACGATGTCGCCAAGACTCTTCCAAGTGTATACTCGTCTAGGGTGTTCTTTGTACCAAGTATTACTGATGACCATGTTCTCCCCCTCACACCACTGAACCCATCTGTCCTCTCGTTCATTTCGTTCACAAATTCCATGCGGACCTACTGCTTTGCCCTCTGTACCATGACCGACTTTAGCGTTCAGGTCTCCCAGGACTATTACAATGCCATTCGATTTGCACTGAGATTTAGCTTTATCTAAGGAATCATAAAAGGTGTCAATAACTTCATCAGCGCTATCTGCCGTTGGTGCATAAATCACTATGATTGAGATGTTAAAAGGGTGTCCCTGTAATTTCACTAGGAGCACCCTATCACTTACACACCAGTGTCCCAACACACTCTTTGAGATAACTGGATCCAGCAGTAACTCCACACCTCTTTCATGCTTTTCACCTCCTGCATAAATCAATCTGTAATCATCTAACACAAACTCGCCGTTATTCAGCCATCTTGTTTCATTTAGTCCCAAAATGTTGACGTTTAGCCTCATCATCTCTCATTTAACATTTTCCAGCTTGCCGCTCTGATACAGTGTTCTCACATTCCGTGTTCCAACTCTGATGGTATTCCTATTGCTAACAGTAGCTGGCTGACGGTCGGGGCCCACCTGTCGCCCGGTGGGATCACTCAATGTGACTTCCAGACCGCATGACCGTTACCAAAATCGCGGAAAAAGGGGTCAATTTCAAGCAATGTCCGCGGACAAAATATTCCTCGAAATAAAGAAAATAGGGGTGCACAGGTGTCCCCGAAATTGATAAAATTAATAGGGGTCAGGAAAAGGGAAAAGAGAAAACCGGGAAGGGAAATTCTCGGAGCCGAGTCTTGTCCTTGAAATATGGTAAAATAGGGGTAAATTGGCGAAAGCGTCCTTACAATCTTATAAATAGGGGTATTCCAAAGTACGATTTTGTCCTTGTTTTGACGTAAAAAAGGGGGTTAAGTTTCACAAAATGTCCTTGAAATTAACCGCAAAAGGGGGTTATATGCATTGGTGGTAACGGTCATACGTGTCACTCTTTGCAGGGGAGTGACCCCACCGGGCTGTCGCCCATGGGACACCCTACCGGGCGAGGTGCTTGTCCCTTGAGGTAGACCCCTTCACGCCTTTGGCTTTTGCTTTAGAGTTGTGGTTCATCATGATTGTTCTTGGAATAATAGGGAAGTGGTTTTCCGTTGCCTTCTTCACCGCAGTATGTAGCCGTATCTGGGACCGTCCAGCACGCCAGGCATTAATCAGAGGTTCACCGTTGTCCTAAAAGGATCTTCCGCCGAAACACTCCTACTGCATTGCTGCTGCACAATGCAGAGCAAGCTAAGCTTATTTAAAGGCGGCCTAAACTCGCCTTCCCAATTCAACGTCTTAGGAGATATGCAAGCTTTTATTGGTCCCACTGGTGCCACCCAGTACCACCGCCAGCCCCCTGATGCTGAATGGTCCCCTTTTAGTCGCCTTTTACGACACGCAGAGGATACGTGGGGGTATTCTTGACAGGCCCACCCCACCGCATAACCTTGCAGTACACACCAATACTTATACGCTAGATGATCAAAATGTTATGATCGATTCCACAACGTTTCTCTCACATTGCAATCCCATGACCAGAACTGAACTATACCTTTAAACACCCCATTCTTTTTTGACATCCAACATCGTCTGACAACTCTTGTCACTTTTCATATCTTTGTACTGTGCAGCTACACCTCTTACTTGCGAAAATGATTATGTATGCGCTATGAGGTCGAAAAAAAACATATTTTTTCCTGTGTTCCAATACAATTTTGACAAATAAAACATGTAATTCCCATTTTTTCGAAATGATGTATCTAGCTCAAATGGATTTCGAAACACTTGAACAAGGATGAGGTATCTATACAGCACTACAGAAGGATAACTAACATGATTTATGAGCTATAAGGGGGAAAAACCATATCGTGTTTACTTTGTCCTAATAAAATGTTGACAAATACAACATGTGATTACCATTTCTTCTCGATATTTAGAGGATTCCCAAGCACTTGAACAACGTCTAAATGCGGTTTTGCTGCATCATTACAGAACGATATCTGAATTCATTGATAAGAGATGTACTATTAAGGCTAATGACATAATTACCGCAATCAGGACTGCTCTCTTCAATACTCACCAAATGCTGATTGATTGGCGTGAAAGTCAGACATCTACAAGAAACCAAGAAACGATCGACATAGAAAATAAGCCAGGTAATGCTAAATACTTCTTCTGTACTTAAGGAAGTTGAAGTAAATAACCCAAGAGTATGAACACATCTCCTCCCGATAAAAGAAGAAAGAGTACTTTTTTCCCCAAAGAACTCTATTACCCATCCCTTTAACTACCCGATTTTACGGTAAATCGCACCCGGGATTAAAGCTGTATAGGCCAGATGCTTTAACCACTAGATTACGGAGGCGGGTTGAGTGCTGTTTGGCTATACCAGATACGCTCACTGATAGACAGCCTAACCAGCCTCGTATCAATTAATGTATCCCTATTCTTGGACGGGGAAGGGGAGTACTGAACAATAACAAATAGTATAGAATAGAAATATTTGCTCTTATACTAAATAGCATCGGCAAGTCCGGTGGGGGGTTTATTTACATAATGTGACAAATCAATCATGTCAATATAGATAAATGATTGCTTCAATAGTTTTGAATACGTTTTATCTCCGTATTTTCTTCCTGTTTTGACATTAACTGAAAAGGTCGCAAGTGCTGTCTCCGCTGGGAATCCAACTCGGACCGTTGGATGTGGAAACAAAAGTCTCACTTTTTTCTTGAGTTTGGTAATAATTTTTACATTGTATTATAGATTATGCCTGGCCTTCTGACGAGGAACTCACAACGATTTCACGTCATCTCACACGAGAATCAATGAAGGAAGTCTGCAAGAAACTAACAATTGACTGCCAATATGATGATGCTAATGACGAAGGGGAACGGTTCGAAACTCTACGTAAATGGAGAACCAATGCGTCAGATAAACCGTTAGAAGAGACATGGAAGCAACTTTCTTCAGTCTTGGAATCAACCAATCTCCGAGGTACCTTCTCAAAGTGCATAATCTCATGTATTTTCTTACAAATAGACAATCTATAAATATTTACAGTTTACAACTGAATTATTCATACTCCTTGTATATTTGATGTTTTGGGAGTGTTGTTTTTCGTAACTCAAGAATGAAAGGTGGACTGGTAAAATTATGTCACATTCTCTAGACACATAAATTGAGACAAATCGATTTTGTATATACCTCGCCACTTTTAAGGACTATGTCAATTTATATGAGGTCAAGTCACCACTAAATGAAGAAAAAAAACATTCCAATTACGACTTGACCTAGAAATAAATCATCAATTTGAAACATACTGATAAAGTAAAAAAATATTCAAATAAAAATGGTTTGGAACATACGTTATAAGGCTTGTCCTTTTATATTCCCCAGGTTTGCTGCCAACTTTAAGAGGACCATACATCTACAAAGCTGAGTTAGTTGATCTGGCTTTTCATCTGCTTATCCATGATCTTTTTCCTGTCACCAAAGTGCTAGATATTAATGCCACCAAACTGGCATCATATCGACCCGCCTTCCATCCTTCACACCTTGAGATCGGGACCATCAAGTTACTCATTGAACTCTTCGAATCCATTAAAGGTTCGCCCCTACCTATGAGTGGAGAGGACTATACACGATCTGTTTTCTGCCGTAAAATAGCGAACCTTCACTATCCAAATGTCGCTATTACAGAAATATTTGGTAAGAGTATATTGATAACGAATCTTAAATGTCTATTCTCATTTTACAGTACCAAATGATCCCCCAGCAAAAAAGAGACAATAATAATGTTAATTTTGTAGTAACATAATTCAAGGAATATTGATTGATCGTAGTGGAACCAGAGATAGAAATATATGAAAATCCTTGATCGCCAATTTCAAGTTCAATTTCAAGTCCATGTTATTCCACCATTAACAAAAAATCCAATACAATATACAAACCATACAATACAAATAGGAATACAAAATAAATGGTTAGGCTGCCTCTAGAAGCTGAGGCTTGATCATGGAACACCCAATTACATACAAAACTAGTTCTGGAACATACAAGCCACCTACCGAGCAATCAAGCAATTGTCCACCTGTTGGCTAGCAAGAGTTCATATCCATATTATAACATTAGTTGCTGTTACAGTTGAAATTAACTAGTTTGTCGCAAATATTTCCTTTGATATCGTTTAAGATAAATTAAATCCTTTTCAAATTAACTTTTTTGATTTTCAAGAGTACGACATGAGCTATGGGGAGTTGTGTTCTATCTCGGAAGCAATAAATAAAAACCTAGAGGAACATGCTGATCAAGGTAAGAATCTGCTAAAGCATAAAGTTGGTATGGAATATAGTTTGATGCATTCATGATCCAATCCGACATCATTTTGTTCTGATCCGTGATACGGTTTTCTTGTCAATTTACATCAATTCATCAATCAAGCCCATATTTAGAGGCATTTAAGGTTTTTAACGAATAATCCAACCTGTATCACACACACAAAAAACTTTGGATAGTCGAATCCGTAATTGTGTCACTGATTTCATTCAGACAAATGCACTCGAAATCACGTTTAATGACGACGTTAGAAGTTGATCTTGTTGACTTTTTTCATTTAGAAGTTACTTCTGGCATGCTTCCAGGCCCAGGGATCCCTGATCCACTTCAGAATGTGCTACAGCTGACTGATCAAGACATAGCTGACCGTCTTGATGCCTCACACCCATTAACAGCATTTGCGCTGTTAAAGATATGGAAAGAGAAGCCACGTCCGTCGGTTTTCAACTATCGTGCGGCTTTAGCTTATGAACTGCGGAGGACCCAGATGCCTGGTCTCGCAGATGAAGTAGCTGCAGGTTAGTCCATATGCTATTTAATATATACTAAAGCTGAAGAGATACGATAAAAGAAATTAGAAAACAAAGAAAGTTACTACCCTCTAAGAATTTAAATCTATGTACGTCCAATTCGGTATTAAATATCAATTTTCGATCCAGGAATCTGTGATGGGGAAGGTGGAGGTTAAAGCGAGCACATTTCTCAAAAAGTGCTCACGAAAAGGTGGGGGCGGAGGACGGGTCTTTTAAAGTTATTTACCTTCAGCTACAGCCTTTGTCAGCAAAGTGGAGAATGCATTATCATATATTTATCTTGCCGGTAGCAAGGTCTAAAAAAGTAGATCAAAAATCAAATGATGATGACAATACTTACAATAATGATAGTAATAATAATATAATGTTTTTGGTGCAGCGAAATTTAAATCAAAGTGAATTCTCAAAACAGAGAACAAACAATCAAGATGAAAGAATTACAACTAAATATGTTGTTAGTGAATTGAATACGTACATGTCGGTTTCCTATATTTGTATGAATATCTATACGAATTACATATGCTCGATTATGGCCTTTATTCGTATGTGGCAGGCAAATACATGGAAGAGGGGACAAGTCTTGCATTCATTGAAGACATGGTTCGGGGATTACATCAAGATCAACTGGAATGCCTTGGGAATATACTAAAACTGAGTGGAACAGACCGCTGGTCTACGATTACACCCTCAGATGCGATCTCCAAGAAGATCTTTGACTGGGTGGCAAAATGGACAAATGAAATGGAGACTTGTCGGAAATCCCGTGCCAGACAACCTGTCAAAACAGACATGACAAAAGTCCCCGGTGGCTCCGTGTTAAGAGACGTTACTGCGACGAAAATGCTTCTTGATCACAGGGATCTAAATGATCTGCTCGTACAGCATGGTTTTCTAGATTTCGCGCGTGAGATTATGATCATAGAGCAACGATCGGTTGCAGGGTTGTTAGCATGAATAGAGCAGACTTTTGTCGATAGGAATCCAACCAAGTTTATCTTCGCATCGAAACAAAGTCGTCAATTTAGTCTTTGGATTGAGCGTATTATCGGCAATTTAATTTGTTGTTGTTGACATTCTACTATTTTACACCCTCCCCTCTAGTGCCCCCTCTCCCCCCCCCCCCCAAAAAAAAATAAAGGGAAGAATGCCCATTTAATAGTAAGTTTCCGTTCTTTACGATGTATGATAATTGGTAGAAGGGGAGAGCAATGTGGAATATGTCGTAAGACAATCATAAGTTTTGACATGTCAGAGGTCTCTTCTCAGGTTTTTTGTAGACTCTTTGTTCATTTGATCTTCAGCTGGTATAAAATACGTGACTGGTAATTTAGAGGCTATAGTGCATGTTATGAAATTTGGGTAAAAATGTGTAAGACCTCTTCCTCTCTATACCATCGACTATATACTGCATAAGATAACCTGAGTGTAATATGTTAAGTTTCAAACAAAATGCTAGAAAAACATTATAACATTGTATGTATATATTATGTACATGTGTAAGTTCATTTTTATTTAGGGATGCTATGTGCCCACTATAATTCAGGAGGCATTTCCCCTGATTTGAAAGACAGAAAGAGAGAGAGATATATATAGACACTTAACAAATAATGTAAGTTTAAATATCAATAGCAACATGACTTACATTTTCCAAGGGCCATGTACACTTGCATGAGTTAAAAAAGTGAATGGTAATAACATTATTGGGTGGTATTCTCGAAAGCAGGCCTAAGTTAAACCTGGCCTAACTTAGTCCGTGGATTAGTTAGGCCAGGCTTAACTTTAGTCCACCTTCGAGAATAGCAAAAGAGATAGTCCATGGTTTAAACCAGGTTTAGTCCATGGACTTAAGATAGTCCGCTTTCGAGAATACCACCCTTTATGTTTATCAGTAATTTGTTCCCTCTCTGTGTAGCTGTAGCATCTAGTAATCTATTGTACATGTGTCTCTTTATTTTCCTTTGTAGTTTATTTGATTGCGATGTTCTCTTTATCAATGATCATCAGTCTGTGAAATTTTACATACAATACACAAATTTATGTTACGTGATTTTTAGCGAACCCATGATAGACTGCTGTACATGTAATAGTTATCAAAACGCTTTGTGCAATGGGAGCGCCAATATGATGAAATATACAATTATCTAAGAAGGAATTATTGGTTAGGAATTAGTTCAGGTACGATAATGATCACAAGTCATAGACTTGTTTCGACTTTTACTGTAATATTGTAATATTTTGGTGTTCTATATTTGTTTTACAATGTAATTACACTGAAGTAAGGGCTCTGTCGCAAGACTTTCTTTCATTCATAAAGATACCATAAATATTATTGTATGCAGAACAAATAATGATAGTAACCAATGCTACATTCATCATACTTTGCAAAATGTTTAGGTTTGTGAAATTAACTTTTAAAAAAGAAAGAGGTCTGTAAATATTTGTTGTCGCTATGCATGCTATCTGTGTCACCAGGTCCTCTTTCTCATCACAATCTTCATCAATTCGTTATTATGTTTATCAGTAATGATGAATTGCATATGTTTGTTATATCCTGTGTAGCTGTAGCATCTAGTAATATATTGTACATTATGTCGCTTTATTTTTCATTTTAGTTTATATGTTATCGGTTTTCTTCTTCTTTGTGAACATCATCCTGCGAAACTTAAAATACAGTACATGAATTTCTGTTATGTGTTTTAGCGAGCCCATTACAGACTTCTAAACAAAAAATCAGTTGTTAAGGGTTTTGTGCGATAGAGGGTAAATATGATAAAATATACATGTATCTATAAAGTAATTATTGTTTACGATTTAGTTCAGTTGCGATAATGATCACAAGTCATAGGCTCGTTTCCACTTTTACTGCATCAATCTAATAATGTTTTATTGTAATAGTTGTGTATTCCATATATTTTTACAGTGTAATCACATCGAAGTATGGGCTCTGTCATAAAGCTTTCTTTTATGTGCTAAAGATATCATATTATTTTATGCAGAATACATAATAAGAATAATCAATGATACATTCATCACAATTTTCAAAATGCTATAGCTTTATGGAACTTAAGAATTGAGAGGTTTGTCAATATTTGTCGTCGTTTATAGGTATGTAAATAGTGTTACAGGGCCCTGCATGTACTTCATCATAATCTTCATCAATGACCCATTATCTAAACTCGCTATCAAATCCAATTTCTCTGGATGCCTAATTTCATCATAATTATTTCATTTTATTTTGTTTGATGAGGGTATGTATTATTAAAGCATTATAACTAAATAATATCGAAAACAAATGCATTTTTCACAATATTATTCATGGATCGAAGCTGACAATGAGCTTGAATATATTACCAACAGGCTTAGAATGTAACATTTACGTTAGAAAAAAGAAAATATATACACACATATTATATATTGCAGATTTTTAAATGTTTGGAAGTGAATTTCCACCTTTTGTAGCTAAAAGTATGATACCATTAATAATTTAACTTTCTAATTTCCAATATGTCTCAGTCTCTAACGTATGGCAAAGTCAATTCCCTGAGTGTTATTGTATCTGGATTATGAATAGTTGACGGACGGATTATGAAAAGTTGACGGACGGTTAAAAGTGTGATGTGCTTTCATCTGAATATTGTTGGAAAATTGTAGTTTATCCCAATCTTTATTTCCAACCCTGCATATTCTTGCCGAAACAATGATAACAATCATCTTATTTTGAGAGAAATTTTAGTAAAATAATCTTTCTGATGTCACGGTTCAATATCAAGGTCGAAAATCTATTTTAGTTGATTCAATTTCTCCTGTTGGTATATGTCTTGGCGAACGGGAAAGAAAGAGAGAGAGAGAGAGAGAGAGGGGAGGGGGGGATATATATATATATATATATATAAGTGCTAATATACGAAAGATTAAACATTTCTTAATGTGGATGCAATCGAGAAAAAAAAGCAAAGTTTCATTGCATTCACATACTCTATAGTCTATTATAATGGAACATCTTCATAAGGCTGTGCATTACCTGAATCTGATTTGTGGACTTAGTTAAATAATCTTTCTGATGTCACGGTTCAATATCAAGGTCGAAAATCTATTTTAGTTGATTCAATTTCTCCTGTTGGTATATGTCTTGGCGACCGGGAAAATTTTTCACGCACAAATATTAATTGTACAAATGTATTATATTTACAATACAGTCCCATCATGAAAATTAATTGACTTAAATCCAAAATCTTTACGTGGGCGACATCGCTGTCTAATAATTGCAGAATGGCTCGGGTGGTAATTAAAAAGCATGACTCTCAGAGGGCAGCAGCCTTCTCGTCGAACACTCCTTTCCTCTTCGAATCTTACTTCTGTCACATCAGTCATAATCTTTAACGAGATTTCAAATTTGTGCTTATCTCACTAATAATAGTATGAACTATAATACTTGTCAAACAAGATTTTAAAGGGGCTGACGTTATATTGAAAATCATATACGTGGTTAGTATGAATCCATATTTTATGCCCCCCCCCCCCCACATTAATATTCTGGATCCGCCAATGACAGGGGCTGCTCCATTAAACAAACACAAATTCATACGCATCAAACAATTTGTCTTTTTTGTGATGAAATTTACACAGCAAAGAATAGGGGAAACAAATCACCCAGCCAGGTAATACCCCTTTTATCCAATTTTGCAAAGACCGTGAATACATTAGATCGTTAAATATTTAAACTGGAAAGAAATAGTTTGGAAACGCCAACCACAGTTCAAAGTCATGCTTGCCGATGCCATATTGTCATAAAATTATGCAGACTCAGGACAATGGTGTAGCCTGGGCTCAGTCATGAGAGAGGGGTTCACTAGTCTTTAGTATATATGCTAGATCAGCGTTTTTTTGTATAGTCACGGCATCTTTTATGGAGTTTCGCGTCACCCAAATCCACCATTCATCAAATAGGATGTGTTTTACATCCCTCGTATACAGTATATACGTAAACATATACTGGCACATTTTCGCGTTAGGGCCGTGAGGGCCTCCTACCTCCATATCCGGATCTCAAATATTGCGAACTAGCGAAATGTAAATGTAGCTTCAATAAGAGAAATGTAGTATTGTTCATTCAATGCACCACAAATATTAACAGAATAATAATATATATGAATCAACACAATATGACGAGATATTGAAATTAAATTACTTTTAACATAAATAAAATGTATGATAAACATAACCCTTTTCATGTTTACATATCGTAAAAAATTATTACAAATGCATAACAAAAGATTATACGTTTAGTTACTAACGATCTCAGAAACATGAATGGGTATATACAATTGGAAGTTATTACTCATCTAGGCCTATATACAGTATGTTATGTACTGAATGTGCTGCTACAATCATAACAATATTCGGGCGACGAGGTGCCCGAATATCGTCATGTCGTCATCACATGGGGATATGCATGGACCTCACTGTCTAAAACTATCCTGTTTATAAATTTTGAGAGCGAGGGATAATACACTTTTACTATTTCTGAAATGATATTTCCTCATCAAAATACCCCAAAGTCATAAATAATTTTGTACCTTGTAGTTTCTGATACTCGGTTTTCATGGAGATGACGTTATTCTAAAACATTATTTAAATATAAGTACCTAAAATAATTTTGCGGCGCCCTGTTAAAAAACGCTAAACTGTGAGGGGGAAGATTGACTAAGCCGGGGAAATTATCCCTTGCCCTTTTAGAGTGGGAAGATTTTACATTTTAAAGTAACCCTACACACATACATACTCTGATTCAGTCTCTTTCCAGCTTTCACCCCATCTCCATTTCCTTTTGTTCCCTGCTGTACGCTACATCAAGGACGCAGATCGGATCATCCCAAGCATTTTTTGATAATCGTTTAATGGACTTCTTACAACAGATTTTATTTAAGATTTATCATGTTGTCCCAACGGTACTGAGTCAGATAATGTAATTATCTTTAAAGAGCGTCTTTTTGCCCTTTGAGGGGTGGGGGGATAAATTGTCACTGTGTCCCTTCTCCCATAGCTACGTCATTGGCTCAGATTACGGACTTTGATCATGCCTCACGTGGTATCAGTGA